CACACACACACACACACACGGATCGGAGCGAGACTGTGTGTATGCCCTTGTGCACTAGAGCTGGATTCAAGCTACGCACACTTCTACGCTAATGATCTGTAACTCTTAACTACTAGTTTTGAGACTGAGAAGTCGACTTGGGACGTTCGAGAATCTATTTAGTGTACGGAAATTCCTGATGCACCTGTATACAGCTGTTTCGAACTCGAGCCCGGACATACCCCATGTCAATTGCCTAATATTCCACGCCGATCATACAATTTTTAACGATACGGCAGGAGTGAAAGATGCTCTGGAGACTACTGGCACATAATCATCCATCTATAACATGGAAATTTCGTACTGAAGTTGGGAATAATCGCCAGTAATTATTATGCCGACGGATTGATGAATGGCCCTGAGGCTTTGTACCCTTAACTGACTGTTTAGATTTGACGGAGATTCGATGAGTCAAGCACAGGTCGATACACTACAGTACAAGTCTATTTTACTGAACCGACAGTTGACCCCATATCGATTCATCACTGTAAACCTTGTGCATGAGTTCATGCGCGTACACACATCACACGTTTGAAGAGTTATCAACACAGAGAGAAAGAAAACCATGTACTGTTCTGAGTTTATTTAAAAGCTCAGTGGGAAGAGTAGACAGTTGATGGTGCTTATGGGAAGATATAATCTTCACAAGCAAGGTCCGAAAAGGGTTCCCTGATCTATTTAAGGAAACCTTCAAGATCTAATTAAACGTGACCTTGACCTACAATGTTGTGCATCACAAATACATTCGCGTCAACTGATTTTTATTACGGTTAATATGACAGTCCATAGAGTTCGGTAATATTATACGTGAATTAGCGTGCTACTGTCGTTTTTCAATCACCGGGAATGATTGAACCAATAATATTGATCATTTCTGTTGCACTACGTAAACACCGAGCAAACAAATAGGTCAGTGGTCAAGATCGGACAGTGTAGTTCGCAGTCCCCGACGCGTATCATCATCATCGTACAGCGAAATACAGAGAAGAGAACTTCACTGATCGCTGCCAAACTTGCAGTGCATATGCATTTCAAATACTTCAAAGTAGAGACCGTGTGCCAAACAACTCACAGTAGAGTAATATTTGTAAAAAAGAAAAATTTCAATGAATTGCTAGTAGATGGAACACTGTCAGATTGCCGAAGCCAAAGTAAGTGAAGTTTCTTGTGTATTTCATAACCGAAGCCTGATCCTCACGAGAACAGGACGGTGTACGAAAACCGCCCTCATGATGGGATAAAACGTCCAAGGTGCACAGTACACATTGATGCCCGATCAAGAGGGTGACGATTGTCATCACCAGAAGATGCCACTTTGGTTCGTACGCCTCATCTGGGCTAGTTTTTAGCCTACTCCCTAAGGTGAATTGCTAGTGGTTCACCAACACGCTAATAGCCCCGCAAAACAAAACGCTCCCACTACCGATCACTTGATGGCTTTTGCATCGAAATCAGATCTCTTATCAAAATTATATTAATAACAATCTAGGGGGAATTCAAAAACCTGCTAGATAATGTCACAATAATAAATCCAAAGAATGACGAGCGTGTGTGAGTTTGATCCAGACAAAATGAACATCAACAGAAACCGAAACCCACCTTGATGAGGAAAAATGTTATGCCATAGGTTGGTAGTGAGCGACATAATTGGATGTATTGTAACTTTGCTTCTTTCTCATCGAAATCGCCCAGCTTTTTGTGCCTCTGAAAGCAGTGGTGAAGAAAACAACCACAATAGTCGTCAACAAGTGATATACAGCGAACAGGATAGGAATAATGTCGCGTAAAACGTGTACAAACAGGACGCTTATGAGAGAAGTCAAGAACTGAGAGGCAATTAGTGGCCTGCAGATGATGCAAAACTGTTTAACAGGAAGCGAGAGAGTAGCGGTTTTATTGCAGTTCTCTTCAAAATAAAATGAACCGTGACTTCGAATTTCAGACGAATACGAAATCCTATATGCTATTTATGGTCGACTTTAAGTCCAGGGAATAGCAGCACATGCATCTTTCGTGTCAGGCTGTCAAACAGGCGCAGTCTTGTCATGTGAAAGAAAAAAACCGGTGTGAATAGATTCACACGATTCAGGGTAATGTGGTTGTGATAGAGTCAAACACGGGTAGAAACTACACATACTCGCTTAGTAAAGAATACTAACCATGAATCAGCACAGTTTCGGTATCATTGTGTAAACAGTTTGCGTTATCCGACCAAAGGCAAGCTTGTATCGCTCAATTTGTTGGTTACACTATCGGCTGTCTAGAAATCGAGGGTGAGATAACAAAAACAGCTGACTGTTTTCGCATCTTTCGTGTGTATCAACATTGTATACGCCTACAGAATGGCCTGATCGGTGTTGAAGCTTTGTGGATTTAGGGATAAGTGGTAGAAAACTGCGATAGTGTGTTTATGCCAAAAACAGTGGTACTCTCAGCCTATAGTCATTACAAACCCTTTATTTCGACAGATTAATAGATATCACTAATTTACTGAGCGGTATCAATTGTCGATCACAAGAATACTAGAATAGACATAATCACCTGAACTGTGCGATGTAGGAGAAGCAGTAAGGCAACCCGGAAAAAGGGAATCGAAAGGTGAAACATAACATGAATAACATGAATACCATAATGAAGTGAACCAGAAATACAAACAGAATTCAGTCTCCCGTTGCCACATCATTGAACGGTAAGCATAGTTTGAGATTTTCGACCACTGAGCGTCACGAAATAGATGCACCTGGGAGAGTCATTATAATCGCATACGGTCAGTTTTATTTTACCGCGGATTTGGAACCGGAATCGCATAGAATGGGCACTGAAGTGGGTCGTTAACAATAACTCTGACAGTGACCACTTATTCGCACTTGATTCTGGGTACGTAAAAACAAGCACTTTCTCCCTTTCTCGATCTGTTTGTCCTTGTGATTCGTCTGTCATAAACACGGTTCCCCTAACTAGAGTTGAATCTGTGAAGTATCTGGGAGTTACAATCGACACTAACTTAAAGTGGACATCCCATATTTACAACTCTATACAGAAACTTTGCAGCTTATCTTTTCAACTTCGAAGACTTAGGCAGTTCAATGCCAAGAAAAAAATCATTTCACTTTTTGTTTATCAATGTGTTTTCCCCGTTCTTCTTTATTGTTCTCCGGTGGATTTTGCTGGTCTACTAAAGAAAGACTTCAAAATTCTTCGTCGCGGTTTGTCGATCATCAGTCGTGTGTCTTTTATACCCGTTGATGAGCTATCTAAAAAACTGTGTGAACTTCACTTGTCCGCATGTGAAACGTTTGCCCAAAAAATCCTCGCTGACCCCAACCATCCTTTACATGGTGATTTATCTAAATGCTCCTCTCATACGTCGACACGTTCTTCTTATCGATTATTACCCTCTCGCATTAGTCTCTACAGAAATTCCCCAGTTCCCTATCTTGCCAGAATCCTTGTAAACCAAGAGCGCGCTTCCTCAGAATTTCTCAGTAACCTTAAAGGCTAAATATTTTACTTGTATCTTTCCTTCTATTGATGAGATGTGTAAATTTTTGACTGAAATGCGAACAGTCTGTTCTCGCAAAAGTCTATACAAGTCTATACAAGCTGTGAAGAAATTCAGCCCTTAGTTTCTGGAACAATGATAACACTTTTTTCCTTTGGGCCAGAGGCGGGAGATCGTACCAGTAGGGGATTTTAAAATAACGGAACGCAAAGCTTAGCACGCCTGTTTGCCGCTCAGTAGGACATTCAACTCACTTCTTGGATACGCTTTTCCACGCCTTTGACCTTGGCGTATTCCTTTGGAAGGTGTTCTTTCAAACTATGGCGAAAAATAAACGTTAGAAACGGATTAGACACAAATACATGTTCCCAAATCAGCCAATGTATCGCAGACACTTCAAAAGTAGACTTCGTCCATTGATGGCAAAGATAAAAGGTTTGTGAGAAGTGAAGAGTATTGAAAACTGAAACACAAGAGAACAAATGATCTGTCGCAGACAGAGATGTGACCAGAAACTGTTTAATTCGGTTAGAAATAGATGTAAGGCAGGTCAGGGAATTTACCATCTTTTTTGCAATTTGTGTACGACGCGATTAATTTCACAGCATAGACACAATAGCTCACGTTCTTTAAACCAAAATGTTAGAAATATTCTTTCTTTAAAATCGCGACATGATATAGCACGCAGCAGCGTGATAAGCAATAGGAGAGCGGAATCCTGAACAAGGAAGGCCCAAAATTTGGTTACGCAAATTAGCGACCCAAGCCCTTTGATCTGGAGTGGTGAACCACATAATTGTGCCATTGTTCTTAAGCCCATAACTTATCACTCCGGATGAAGAACATAGCAAAATGCTCAGATTCATGTGTGGATCCGTAAGAAAGGTTAACCGTGTAAGATGATCCGACAAAGATATGTTAAGATAAACAGCAAAATTTTGGAACAAAGAACACACCACAATCGATAGGTGACACGTAAGGACGTTAACAATGCATAACAAAGGCAGGAATAGGGCAATGAGTGGGAGACTTACTCAATGGAGTTATGTTTGGCTTTTTCTGGTGTCAGTACCCCTATTTCAGCTTGACACTGAAGCGCAGCCAAATTGATTGCTTGCTCCAAAGATATCGGATGTGTTCCGTTTATGATGGCTTCTTTCAGCTGTAAAAACAACAAAGTAATTCGTGAGCCTAATGAAACCACGGCGAAACATAATTCCGATGGGAATCGGTTAAGTCAAATCGCAGAATGCAAATGGGCCGAATGAAAATGGAAAAAAAACTAACGTTGACGACAGATATCATTGGCCTGAATGCCAACAGCAAGAAAGGTTAATAGTCATGCACATAACGTCAAATACAATCAGAAGAGGGTAAAGGTACTGGTTTCGTTTTAAAAGAGTAAAAGATTGAGACTCTAACAGTTGTGAGGAAATCATTTTTCGCTGTTCTCTAACTAGTAATAACAGTCTAACAACTATTCCAAAAAGAGAACCCTTTGCAGATGGAACTCCGGGGACGAAGTGGCGGTTTCAGGCGCTGTAAAGTCAACCTTCAAGTGACGAACCCTAAACCTGTATCAAAAATGGCCACTCTTATTGCTCAAAGGCAACCACTGAATGACCCAGATCGAGTGTTTTTAGTTTCCCTGTCGCACGGAATGCCACAGTTTCAGTTTGTACAACCATTAAATATGCACTTTCGTACGCCTGTTTGGTTGCTTTCTTTTGACTATCCATCCGGATGAAGTAGTAGGAGAAAGACAGGAAAGTTTGAAGTAAAGTCAAAGAGAAAATGGAGAACTTCAGTGGACTAAGGTTGCCAAGAAATTGCGACGATCTACGAACACTAAACTTGGGTGAATCCCAAGGGTCTAGTGCGCAGCGAGAATAGTCGACATTCTCAGACCTTGAGATTCACTCAAGGCCCTCTTGCGCGCCCTTCGATTGGCTGCGCTACACCCTCGTGCTTGTTCGTCACGTTGGAACTTATTGTTTAACTCATCCATACAACGGTGCTAATCATGACCAGGATCCACAAATATCCTCGTCAGGACATGCTACGACTAAAAATTGTGTATTCTGTGCTACTCACTGATTATTTGCTTGGTGAGAGTCATAAAAGCCCTTTGATCAAAAAACGCCGACGGGCCGGATGGCAGACTGCATTTACTCGCACACCTGCCAAGATGACTATGCCACCATTGGTTAGCACCAACGTTCGCTNCATGGCTAAAACAAAACATCAAAGACGTTCTCGTGCGAATAGAAGGGTTTGATTGCTACCGGCAGGATAGACAGCGAAGTAGGAAAAAAACCGGAGGCGGTGTGGCTACTTACGTCAATGTTTCCTGGTGTGGCAAGTTAGAAGTTATATTTAACTACTCTGAAAACTGCATTGACTGCTTGTCTGTTCGTTGTCACCCTAAATTTTCTCGTCACAAAAGTACAATCATCACCAA